TTTGTTATAAAATATACGGTAAGACAATCTGGGAATGGATTCAATGGTTAGCTCTGAAGGAACTCTTCGAGCGCCTCTTCGTCTGACTTTTGGGTTTCAATTTCGATCTCTTCGATGGAAGGGATCCGTTGTTTTGAGTTATTTTGTACTTTCGTTTCGATCTTTCCGTGAGTTTTATAGTGATTGAGTTCCTCTTCGAAAACTTTTTGAAACGCTTCCTGTCTTTCCTTAGCTTTCCATCTAAAGCCCAGTTTCTATGGAATCGAAACAATACTTTTCAATACAGATACAGTTAAATTGATTTTATGTGGAAAATGGCTTTTTATTCAATATATTCGCAATCAATTAAAATCACATATAAAACAAAATTATTTTCCGAATCAACACTTTTCTACTGTTTATGCATTTTCTCAATAAAAATCCCTCTATTCATGGTCTATAAAAGTGATGGCTTTTGGAGGACAGTCGAGTTCTATAGGGAGCAGCCGGACATCAATTTCAAGCACAACCTTATTCTTGTGCTACAACTGCGAGACACAGTCCCGGCATATAAATTGTGGAGTACTTACCCTCATCTCAATGCCGCCTTCCCTTCCGATCAGTTATCGCTTCCGTATATAACTGTAATTATAATACAATTTTTGTTTTACTTCAGAGATAATCAAAATATAATCAAATGCTTAGAACCGAGAGATCGATACAAATAGTGACGGAAAATATGATGAATTGAATATCGATTTGAAAGTTTCCATCGGTGATAACGATGAGGTGATCGGAGCACAACTCATCCTCTTCTTTGAATACAAACTTCACGTAAGCTTTGAATCTAAAATTTCAAACAATTGTTGCAAATAATGACTATATTTGACAAATTAGTCGAAAATATTCCTACAAATGGAAAGCATAGCGAATATCAAATACGAGTCACCAATAGCTGGAAGAAGTCTTCGAGTGATTGGCGACCTAAGACTCAAACAGAAGGAACCACTCGTTTATCGCAGACATCACATCGGATTCAATGAGAATATAAAGGATTCACAAGAATTCTTCGTCGAAGATATGTTGGAGTCTTATATCCGACGCAACTGTGAGTCTCGCCTACAATGCAATCAAATCTCTTATTATAAGTCTTTGTATTATTTAGTCTCGACTTCACTCGACTTCAATACTCACTATAACTGGTATTCGAGAAAAGAAAAGTCATCCCAATTTGAAATCAATGCAACCCTTCTATATAGTGAGCAAATGTTTTATTATAAGCCCGGCTTCTGGTATCTCATCAAATGGGCTTTCATTCAATACCTTTACGTGTATTTGGTTTTATATCTAATCTTTAAAAGAATAATTGAATTTGTTTTTGGGAATAGACTTTTGAATTGCATTGTA